TGAGAAATTGCTTTTTTATGTATTTAATTCTAAGCAATTTGATGTATAAATCATTAAAATCGAATGAGTAATTTTTAAATGGTAGACATATGAAACATTGAATTTCCCACTCATTATCATCGATATTTTCTACAACACTTCATTTATGACAAAATTGTTGAGACACCTATAAAATTATTTTTAATCTTGAACATTTTGATGTATATATTGTTTATGTTAAATAAAATTTTTTGAAAAAATTTTGAATTTAACATTACGCTCTATGGAGATTTAGTGCCACTTTGACGCAAAATTACTCATATACCCAGGCACATTTTAGAAATTATGTCAATTGACTTTTTCTTCTATGGATATCTGGTAATACATTCCCGAAGTCAGAATGTCGATTACATAATTGGTTTAGCTGCTACAGGCTCCGATAGGTGTCTAATAGTTATGAAATGTGGTGTATATTGTTTTGTTTAAAATGTTATAAAATATTATATAATTAAAATTAATAATAATAAAACTTTTCAATGTTATCCCAATAACATTACATGAATATTTGAATTAATTAATTTTAATTTGATGTTTACGTTACAGTTGTTTACACATAACATGCATAGGCATGGGATACGTGGCAACGATGACCCGTCTCTGCCATTTGTCTCTGCGATGGTGTCCTCAGGTCCGGGATTTTGGACTCCAGACCCTGTGTTCTATGCGCTCATTGAAAAGCCTGTCCATCGCTGGTCTGTATAGCAAATCATGTGTTAAAATAAAATTAATTTTCAATTAATAATACAATAATTTGATATACAGGGTGTCCGCAGTTGACAATCGGCGGTCTCTCGTGTTTAGTACAAATGCAAACATTACAGGAACTCGAGTTGACTAACTGTCCGGCGGCTACTAAAGAGCTCATCAACTATTTGAGAGACAATTTGCCACATCATTGCTCCATCACTTTGTAACAAAATAAGATTGGTGGTTTATGTGCGATATTTAACTATCACTAGTCAAACATCATGATACAATAATATATTTGTAAAAAAAGTGTTCCGATGGCTGTGTATTTATCATCAAAATGTCCCAACACTACTTATCTATTATCTAGATTGTTTAACACTCCAGTCCACAATTTAAATACAAATTACTTTTAACGGGTATTTAATGAAACTGTGTTAAGAACTAAACATATGTCTATAAATATCCCGATAATTAAATGTAAAATCACATATAAAACAATTTTCTGATGTTAATATAAGTTTATCATAATTAATTTATTAGTATTAATATATTGTCACCACAATAAATTTAAAATACATACAATATATAATTATATGTATTTATCAAGTAATTAAAATAGTCATTAAATATAAATATAATTAAAAAACAATAGCTATTTGTCAGAAGTGTAAACACTTTAAACATTAATTTAAATATGTTTCAAATAGTTTTATTTAATAATTATTTATAATATCAATTGTAATCAATATTAATGTGAAATAATTTATAAAATTACAATTATTGTCATAAAAATTACTCTTTTGGCCAAAAATATGTTTTATAAAACTGAGAGTATTTTTTGAAACAAATCGGTATTATTTTGTTTTAACATTTGTAATGAAAACAGCACAAATATCCTGATGTATAATACACTATATAAATATTCCATAGGTTTATAATTAATATAATAATTAAATTCTAGAACCTTAAAAACTAAATATTGATCCCGCACTATATAATTGTATCTAGAATTTAATCATTCATTTGTATTAAACTAAATCCAATAATAAATTAATAATTATAGTAATTTGTGATTTACATACAAAATTCTTGTCAAATACCTACAATTTAGTACTTTCTAATTGAATATATTTATTCAAATATTATAAAATTATGGTTAATTATAACTACCTTTAAAAAGGTAAGGCATTCTTTACGATTATTATTATATTATTTATTAAGTAAATATTTTTATTCCTTTTACAAAATATATTTTTGTTTTTTAAATATAAAGAATACATGTATTTGTAAAATAATTTTTCCATATGCACAGATAAAACCAAAAACATGTATATAAGATCATAATAACTAGTATTTATATTTACGGTCAAGTTTTATTTACAGTAACCAGTAGAATAATATACGAGATTTATTTATCAATAAGTATATTTAACAATTATTGATACCTTATTCCCATTACAAATTATGTTTTTAAATATTGTTTTAAAAAGTCCAAAATATTAAATGTTGTAATAAAACATAATATGATAAATAACCTGAGCGATGATATTTTATAATATTTGTATTAAAGATTTTATATTTATAAAAGCTGCAAAAATATTTTATATTTACAGTTTATTAACTATGTGAAAAACTTTTAAAATACATTTGGATTCCACGATATACCTAATTAAAGAATATTTTAAAATTTTAGTTGACTACCACAATAAATTAAATATAATATTCGTCTATCTTTTAAGTCAATGGCACACTAATTTGACCCGATCACGACGTGGTGGGGCACACGTTTGAGCATATAGTATATGAACTAATGTTAAATTACTAATGTTAAATATTTATAACCTAAAAATATTAAATATAATATAATAGATAAACTAGATATAATTAATTTGCGTAAAATTATTATTAAATTATGTTAAGATAAATGAATTATTTTTAAATAAAATATATTACAATATGACAAATATGATATATCATTAATGTTTAAAAATTAATTTATGCCAATAGGTCGAGAATGACTCATCTGCCGCGCGGCAAGTGCCTCGCTAGGCATTTTCAACTAATTTGCAAATATTAAAATTTTTAAATATTTATATTTAGTTGTAATAATACAATTATATTTGTAATAAAATTTGTAAAATAAAATTAATTATTTTATATTTATGTAATAATAAATGTCATATTAATTGTTCCAGAACTCTTTAGCCCCAATAATTTTATTAATTTAATTTAATATATAAATGTTCAAAATATGTTATTATATATATACAGTTTATTAGACAACTATTAATTTAACATTGATTTTGCTTACTGAACAATTCTATAAATAAATGCACTTTTATTCAAACCTTTATACACCATAGTTGGGATTCCCAACTTGGGAGTTGTCTAACCAGGGTGTTGACAATCTGGCACATGGTTTTGCTGAATTTACACACACTCACACTATCCGGCTGTTCAAAAGTAAATACTCATGATAAATTCTAAATTATTTCATTATACAAATATAATATTGTTAAACTGTAACGATAAGATATAAGGCGTATAATACATATCTAAAATAATTACAACTTACTATATTTGGAACCTCTAATCTTACACAAATATTATATTTTTACTATTTATCTAAAACATTAATTATGGAACCATGACAATAATAATAATTATTAATAATATTTTACTAATAATTAATAATATAAGTTATATTACTTTTACGATAATTTGTTTAATCACTGCTAAGGTATCGGACGATGCGATAGAAGTGATTGCAGAGCAGATCCGAGGGCTCCGGTATTTGGACCTCTCGTGGTGTCCACGTGTTAGCGATGCGGCCCTCGAATACATTGCCTGAGATTTGTCCGACACATTGACACACCTCATACTCGATCGGTATGTATTGTGCAGTTTGTTTTATAAATGCCTGTATATTGCAATTATATTTGCTACCTTCTTATTATTGTGAATTAATGTAAAGACATTAAACTTTTCAATCTAGATGTTTAAAATGGTCATTTCAATTAGATTTTTTAATTATTAAAACAATTTTGATTTGTATTTCATATAAATCATACTACGGTAATTGATTAATTTTTGGGTAAAATGAAAACTATTATTATTAAAAAGCAAACAATCTGTAGACGTGAACTCAATTTCCCTGTTTATGTAGCATAATAATAGTAACATATATTTTATTATTACCATATAAATTCGAAAATTATATTCTTTTCATCTATTTCATACCTGAATAAACATTGTAAATATATATATTTATCTCCTAAAAATATAAATCCATCAACATATGATTTAATTAATAATCCAATCATCATAATCGCCCAAATAATATTCATTGAATAATTATCTCAATTAATTAACGTAAATTTATTGTTAGTGTTACAGTTGTCTACACATGACATACAAAGAATACATGTATTTGCAAAATAAGGGCAGAATCTTTCTAAATCAATCAAAATTATTTAATGTGATGATTAGTGCATTCAATTCATATTTTTTTAAATATGACCGTCGGTACAATATATAATGCCAGGATTTGGGATCTATCCGTTTCCAAATAAAACAAATTCGTAGGCAAAAGTTATAAGTCAATATAAAATATTTAAAAAATATTTGGGTTTAAAAAAAATATGCATATTTTGTAACAATTTTCGGACTGTAAACATTAAAATGTAGTCATAAATCATGCCTAGGGCTTATATTTTTCATGAATTCCCTAAATCAAAATATATAAAATTTATTTTCCCGATTTTGGCCTATATTTGCTGCCGAAATGTCCATTTTTATTTTTTAAAATGCCAAAATATGCATTTATTTCATGAAAACAAGAATCACCAAGCGATGCTTTACATTAACCACAATTCGGGTAGTTGGAGTAGAATTGATTTGCATCATCTAAATATTTAATATGAGTACAATAGATGTCCAATAGACTCAGCATTATTCTCATAGGATAAGCATTAGCCCCATAGACTTAGCATTGCCCTAGACTTACCATTATCAATGCTAAACCTGTCATAGACTTAACATTATTCCAATAGGATTAACATTAGCCATAGGATAAAGATAGACCCTTTTTATAGTATAGCTATAAACTTAAGCAGTAAGTCTCATAGAGCGAGGGGCGAAGGTGGTACGAACGATTCTATAAACCACATTATTCGTAGCTAAATTGTGGTTTAAAACAAAAAATATGTATTTTAAATGCTCTATAATGCCTAATTGACCGCTAATGTGGCCACTAGTGTCATACTTTCTCAATAAAATTTAAAAAAATATAAAAAAAATATTTGAAGTATTTTAACACAATATTATATAAAATATTTGACCAAAATAAAAAAATATAACTAATTGCACTAGTGATGATACACAACATTTAACTCATAGTACAAGTTTTATTTACAGTCACCAGTAGAATGATATTAAGGTACCTTTTATTGTGTATCATGAGATCTCCAGATTTATTTTTTAATAAATAATTGACACGATTAAATTATCTTATTATAATTAATATTGTACATTATGTTGTAATTAATTGAATTTTTATTTCAATGTTCTAATTGACAATATGTTTAACAACAAAAATATTACGGTTAATTATAAATAATTTGAGGAAAGCTACATTTATAGTATTTGGATTAAAAATTTAATATTTATAAAAGCTGTAAAATTATTGTAGAATTATATCTTATTAATGATGTAAAATTTTTAAAAATTCATTTGGTTTTGTATTAATTATAGTAAATTTTAAATCTTAGTCGTCATAAATTAAATATAATATTCAATCCTTTAAATCAAGTGTTATTAAATTATGTTAAAAAAGTAAATTATTTTCAAATAAAATATATGACAATTAGATATCATTATTTCTCAAAGATTAATTTGTGCCAATAAGTCAGTGATAGCACAATAAGGATATATTATGAGAATGACTAATCTGCCGCGCGGCAAGTGCCTCGATAGAAAGTGCCTCGCTAAGCATTTTCCACTAATTTGTAAATATTAAAATTTTTAAATATACACATTTATTTGATTTTGTAATAATACATTTATATTTGTATTAAAAAAATTTTAATCTAAATTTTTAATTTACTAAAAATTTTTAAATATTTTTA